CAAAACAGCAAATCAAGTGGATGAAAAATAAGGTAAATAATTGCAATTGCTGAATGTGGTAGTCCCATGCCTGTAAAACCAGCATTCTGGGAGGCTGAGACAGAATAAACTACTCAAGACCAACCTGGACAAGTTAGCATTTAGTGAAACCCTGGCTTGAAATAAAAAATAAAGGACTGGAGATGTAGCTCAGTACAAAGTTCTTTGGTCTAACCCCCAGGTACCAAAAACTAAATGCATATAGCAAGTGTGATAACTCAAGAAGAAAACTGAGCTAGTCAAGGGGATAGAGGCAGGGCTGGAGAGATACCTCAGCGACATAAGTGCCTGCCTGCCAAGGACAAGGTCCCTAGTTTGATCCCTGGTACCACAAAAAAAAAAAAAAAAAAAAAAAAAGAAAAGAAACAGATTAGACTCGTAGTGATCTGCCTGCTTACAGCCTCCCAAGAGCTGGGATTACAGGCATGTGCCACCACACCCAGTCTCAATTGCCTTCTCAGCACACCCTGGTGGTGGGGCTGGTACAGCAGGACCAGGGATAGAACCCCAGGCCCCTGAGCCTGTTTGCAGGTGCTTTAATTCACTGAGCTATTTGGCTGGCCTGAGATACTTACTTAAAAATGAACATCCAAGGAATTATTTCAGTTTCTATTCAGTTAGCTAATAGAAAGTTGTAATTAAACTTTAAATTAAATCATCAATAAGCAAATAGCCAAAGGAAGGTGTTACAATACTATACATACATAGTAGTTTTTGGAGCCTCCATGGTATAGGCAATGGACTTATTACAAAGTACATTTGACAATGTTAAAAAATGTATAGTAAGGGCCGGGGAGATGGCTCAGTAGAATAAGCATTTCCCTGGCATGTGCAAGGGTCTGAGTTCAATCCCTGGTTCTGAAAAAAAAAAAAAAAGAAAAAAAAAAGTATGCTAGAATAAACCTGAGTTTTCAAAGACAAGCATGGATTTAAAAAATTCCTATTATGCTACATTAACTTTTCCTTTGCCTTTACTAAATTAAATGTCATAATAAAATGCCATGTGAAAGTAAAGATTATAAAGATTATATAGTAACTAATGAATCAGTCTCATTTTCCTGTAGCTGTGCTTCCAGTGGCTACATGAACAGGATATGAAATTAATCTGAATAACAAAAAAACCCTATAAATCATATTGTATATAATTCAATGGACATACTCTCCCATATATATTATACACAATATATGAATGGCCATAAATGATTTGCAAAATTCTGAAATTTTAAAGTTGTAGAATATATTATGATTGCTTTGAGGTTAACTGTGTATTCAGCAAAGGTCATCAGATCAACAGATAATGACTAAGTTGATACTTGTATCTTAAATGAGGTGTACTCTGTATTATGTATGGGACTTTAACATGAGTTGCTAAAATAATGCCAATTGAGCCATCAGACTGAGATGTCAATGTCTGTGTTGACAAAGGAATAGTTTTAAATTACTAATTTAATACACTAATAACTCTTACTTTAATATATTATAAATATACCATGTGGTCAAGATTACCAATGTAAATGAGCTTTGTCATGACCACACATCAGTATGCTTATTTACAAACTGGAATAAACATTCCTAACTTATGAACACAAGTTACTGTCAGTTTTTAGGTATAATCAATAAATGTCAATTGAGTACAAACAAAAAATAATTTTGTATTAATAAACCAGACTTAAAAAAAACACAGACTTTTCTTTGGATTATGACTGATGACAATTTTCAGCAGCTATTTCTTTTAATAGATATTGGCAGTCTCCAGAAGTTTAAAAATGAAAGTGAAAGAATCTGAAAGGTACAATAGAAAAAAAAAGAAAGAAAGAAAAAGAAACCTCAAGATTTAGCTTACACAGGATAAAAAGACCTTATCAGTGGGTGTAAAGGGAGGCAGACTTAAGTGTTCTGACTAAAGTTTTTCACATTTTTCATTCTGCTGTACTGATGAGTGATCTGGATAAACTTTCTTTGCAACACGTTGGGACTTTCTTACCTAGAAAGCATGCCCAGAGGTGTAACATTAAGTGATCCCATCAGCATTGCCAGGGCCATCCCTGGTGCTTCCCGTTCTATTACTTCTTTTGTGGCCTGTAATTAAAGATTAAATAGCACACTGAGTGAAATTAGCTAAAAAAGATGAAAAGCAGAGTAGTAAACTTCACTATTAAATATAATCACAAACCAGGCTTTCTATAAACCATACTTTGTAGTTCCTCAAAAGTTGATATATTTCTAATGCATATAGTAGTAGGTTTTCAGGATCACTGGATAAAAACTGAGAGCCTAGAAAATCCAGACACCTTTTCTATTAGCAATCCTGCCTTATTTCTTACAGTTCAGAAATACTTCATTGAAATGTTACCTTGTCTAATAAACTAGTTTAAAACTGAAGCCTCAAATTGCTATAACAGCCCTATACATTTTATTAGGATAAAAAAGCTGTATTTTTTTCTTTGCCTGTTAGTCTTTTAAAACAATTAGTTCCTGAAAACCTAGGAGTTTACATTACTTCTAGTGCTATGACTTTATAACATGATTAAAAGGGGTAAGAACTCATCAAGGCAACATTTCCCATGTAATGGCTAGAACCACTGTATATTTGCTATTTTTCATACCTTAAATATAAATTAAATGATAAAAACAAAAAAGTAATACGCTTTAGCTACATATTAGGAGTTTTAGGATTCTTAAGCTTAATAATACAAAGATTTAAACTTCAACTAAGCTAATGAAGGCGACAGGAAACCTAATTTTCTTTTTTCTTTTTCCCTAATTTTCTAAGATCAGTCAAAAAGGGTATATAGGCATACATTAGAGACAGTCCTGGTTTGGTTTCAGACTGCCACAATAAAACAAGTATCACAATAAAGTAAATCACACAATATTTTTGGTTTCCCAGTTACATAAAATTGTATTTTTACATCCTATACTCAATGAAGTTTGCAACAGTATGTCTAAAAAGTACATAATTAAAAATATTTTATTGCTAAAAACGGTATGATCATCTGAACTAAGCAAGCCATTAAATGTTCTCTGGTACAGGGTCTTGCCTCCATGCCTGTTAATAGCTACTGATTAAAAGATGTATAATGATAACAGAAAAGTTGATATTATTGTGATGATTATTTAATTTTACACAGCTATGAAGTATACATGTTAGAAAAATGGCACTGATAAGACTTGCATGACCAGGGTTGCCACAGACCTTCAATGTATAAAACATACAATATTTGTGAAGTATAAAAAGTGAAGTTCCATAAAATGAGTGATGCCTGCATATTGTAATAGAATGGTCAAGATATCTTTTAGGCTAAAGTAGTGGCTAAATGTGTGATAATCTATCTCTAGTTGTCTTTTTTTTTTTTTTTTAAATGAAGCAAGTTGTAATAACTGAAAATAATGTATGAACAAAGCATGCAAAATAAACTTCTCCTGTAAATAAGAAGAAAAGCAAATAAAATAAAAATTATGGAGGGATAAAGAAAAAGGTTGATATTTTAATATTTCAGCATAAATAGAATGATAGTCCTAAATAAGATTATAGCTTCAGTAAATTTCTTTCTTTCCTTTTTTTTTTTTTTTTAATTTTAGGGAATGGTCTACGGGGTGTTCAGGTCTCACTACTAGATCAGACTCGTAGTGATCCACTTGTTTTCAACCTCCCAAAGCTGTGATTACAGGCACGTGCCACCATGCCCAGTCTCAACTGCCTTCTCAGTGCACCCTGGGGGCGGGGTCGGTGCAGTAGGCTAGGGGTTTGAACCCCAGGGCCCTGCACATTCTTGCAGGTACTTTAATCCGTGGCACTATTTGGCCAGCCAGTAAATTTCTTTCCTTCTGGACAGAAGTTGAAAACTTGTCAAAGCAGTTAAAACATGTCATCTATGTATAAGATGTTAATTGATGCTATAAGCAAAATTTTAGATTTTTAAAATTATTTATTTGTGTGTGTGTGTGTGTGTGTGTGTGTGTGTGGCCAGCTCAGCCCACCTGGGGATGGGGCTGGCTGTCATGTGGTGCTGGGGGATTGAACCGTGGTCCATGTGCTTTGCTAAGCTTGTTCTAAGTAGGTGCTTTAGACCACTGAGCCATCTCACCAGCAAAATTTTAGGATACAGGTAAATTTTTAATGTCTTATAATTACATAGAATACAGGGTTACCAGAATTGATGAAATCTGCTGCTTCACCTAATCTCAGGATTTAAGCTAGTAGAAATTTTAAAGGAACATTAAGAATGCTTCCTAGTTAAACACACTTTAAATATAGGGGGCAGCAGTCAACACAAAAATAAATCTTAATTTCTTCAGTTTAGAAGAGAGTTACTATAATGTTTTTTTTTTTTTTCAGAACCGGGGATTGAACTCAGATCCTTGCGTTTGCCAGTCAAGCGCTTATCCTACTGAGCCATCTCCCTGGCCACTACAATGTTTTTTTTTTTTTTTTTTGCGGAACCAGGGATTGAACTCAGGTCCTTGCGCTTGCCAGGGAAGCGCTTATTCCACTGAGCCATCTCCCCGGCCCACTACAATGTTTTATACTAGTATTATTTCAACTTTATTTTTATTTACAAAGACCAATCTATCTGATAAGATTTTGAGGCCTCCTGAAGTCTACTATAATTTATGAAAGAGATTGTTTTATTAAGGTTTTATTTTTGTCTATTTATATAGTACAGGGTCTCACTACACAGCTCAGACTCATAGTGATCCTTGTGTCTCAGCCTCCCCAGTGCTGGGAGTATAGGCATGCACTGGAATTTGGTGGATGGCAGTGTAATCTTGGAGTTCTAGGGCCAGCACAGTATGTGTTGCCTGGAATTGAACCTGGGACTTTGCACTTGCCAGGCAGGTGCTTAGACCACTGACATATCTTCCCAGCCCTTTATTAAGGTTTTAAACTAAATTATGCAAGGGAATGTTACTGAGAATGATATTAAAAGAGGTCTTTAGAAAAATTTGTTCATATTAGCAATAGCTGACACTTGATGAGTTTGGGGTTACTATGGTTTAGATGTAGATTCAGGTGATACAGCAGTAGTTTACAGTGTGAGTGTTAAGACGGGGATAAACTTTTAGCACATGGGGCTTAGTGCAAGGAAACTAGCTCAGTGGGGATTCTTGCCCTTGGAAGGGATTAATGCTGCTTCATGAGTTACTTCCTGATAGAATAAGTTATAAGAAAGTGTGAGCTGACCCCTGAATGACTGGCTTTCTGTTGCACCATGCAATCCCTTTGCATGGAGCCATTTCCCTTTCTGCTTTTCCTCTGTGTTGTGATGCAGCCCTCATCAACATTAGAACAGAGCAGGCCTTCCAAACTTGGGCTTTCAGCCTCCAAAACTACGAACTAAATAATTTTTTTTTAAAATAATGTATAAAACTTCAGGTATTTTGTTATATAGTAAGAGAAAAAATGAATACAGAAGTCCATAAAAAAGGTGATGTACTACCAAAGAGACAGTAGTACCCTTTCTGTAGGGACAAGGAGAAAAACATCAATAGATTGCTGAGAGAGTATTTCATTTAACATACATAGTTGGAAGCACAGTATTCATCCAATTAAGAAATAGTCACTAGGTGTCAACACACTTCTGAGAGTGTATGAAATTACTGGTATCCACAGGGGTAATTCAATAACATGAAAAGTACATAAAATAAGTACAGTTCATTAATTTTCATAGGTATTCTAACATATGCCACAGATTCTACCAGACACTGGAGAATAATGAAATACTAGAATGCCCCATTTACTTTGTCTTTCTTTCCTCTTCCTCATCTTACGCCCCCGCAACTTTCACCTTTCTTTTTTGTTTTTTTGAGACAGGGCCTCACTATGCTGTTCAGGCTAGCCTTGAACTCACCATTAAGCCTAGGCTGGTCTCAACACATAGTAAGTATACTTTCACTATTTAATTGACTAAAGAAATTAATGAATAAGTGACCTGACCTAGATTTGAAACCTGGTTTTATTACTTATTTGCTTTATGAAGTAGGAGAAAATATTTAACTGAGTGCTTCAAGGTACTTGTGAATAAAATGTAGATAAATAATAAAACATATGTACATTTTAAAGAGTATGAGAAATCAGTCAATTTGCATATAATTGGAACTTAATAGATCTTAACATTTTTTTCTATGCTTCTACTTTCCAATTCATTTTATAATCTTGCAGCTTTGCTCTTGTCAGGGAACAGGAATAATACAAAAATTCACAAATCACCTGGAAACAGTAGTTGAGAATCAAAGATGAAGGGACAGAGAAAGAAGGATAAGAACCCAAATGGAAGAGCACTGGCAAGTGCAGAGCAGGAAAGTAGAGTACTGAAATAGTAAAATCTACACAAAGGAGCAAGTAGCCAAAGGAGATGGGGATTGGAAGACAGTGCAAAAACTCAGCGCAAAGATCTATGAGCCTAATGTGCAGGAACAACTGGAGGGCAAAGACCAAGAGAATGAAAATTAATTTAGAATAAGACAGGAGAGCAGTATTTGTCTAAAATATTAGAAATATCCAAGAAAGGTAGTTTTAAGAAGGTAGTATTACTTTCTTTTAGTTTTTAATTAAGTTCCTGAACACATTTTAGGTATACAGAGTGATCACATTCATCATAGAGAATTGTTACCTGTATGTGATAAATACACACACGTATGTCCAGTTTATTTTACTAAGAGTACAGTCTCAAAGTGAATCCATTTACCTACAAATGTCTCAAGTATATCCTTTATGGCTAAGTAGTACTCTACTATATTAAAAAAGAAAAACACATCTTCTTTATCTGTTCATTGGTTGGTGGGCATTTAGGTTGCTTCTAAGATTTAGCTATTACAAATTGTGCTATTATAAATTTGGGTGCATGCACATTGCTGTGGTATGATGCTTTTTAATTCTTTCAGGAAGATAGCAAGAATGATAATAGTTGGGTCAAATGGAACTTCTTTTCTTTTCCATAATTTTATTGAGAAACAAATAGCAATGAGACAGTTTCAAATAAAATTGGTAGGACAGTTTCAATAATTAACACATTGCATACATTCTTCCTAGTGGTTAATTGCTGTACAAGATGCGGACATGATATCCTATTTACAAA